TACGGAAAGTGTTCGTATGATTGCATTCACAAGCCTATTATTGTCGTGCTATATATTATCATTTTCGTCTGACTCACCTATACATGGATTCCTGTTCCACATCCATTGCACTCTCTACATTGGCAAACCAAGCATAGAAATGGTGTGTGTGGACCACAGGGTCCAAATTAGTATCCACTACGTCTCCCTCGCCCGAGCTTGCAATACTCCTTGAGCGTGCTATCCCAAGACCCCCGCCGGACAGACTATCAATGCTGTCTCTCTCGCTTTGTGCCATAGTATAGCTATTTGCACCTGTATTCCCACTATTATTACTAGATAACTCGGTAATAGAATGTATAGAATCTCGGCCGATACTGTTATTCTTGTCCAGACTCGTGCTGGTGTGTGGGTCGTTGTCGTTGCTAGGGGGAGATAGTGCCTCAGAGACTAAGGCAGCCAGGTCAACAATTTGATCTGATTGAAAATCAGTTAAAGGTGCACTTGTCTCCCATTTGGCATGCAGTCCTTCTACTAGTTTCTCCTTACGAGAGTTCACTCGTGTGTTTGAGAGTGTCGCCATCTTGATCTTGGTGTAATGTATTGAGTATGTCTAAGTGCAAGGTACCCCCAAGTACTCGAATACAGTTCAATACGTCAGTAACTCTTTTGCATCACATACGTATGTATCACCTGATTAAGTATATATCTCCACCCCCTACACGTTCATGCATACTCTCATAAATAACAAGCACGCACCCTACAGCCTTAGCGCGTCCAACTGTATGGTATTAATTTAAATAATTTTTATAAACATATAAACAAACAGCTCCATCAATCATGATTGATGTCTACAGATTGTTTCTGTGTTTACTTTTTACACTTCGCTCGTGCTCCTGCTTGTGCTTGTCATGGAAACTGATGACATCACCATATAGCTTTTTTTTTTTGGAAAATTTGGCGATTGTGACAGCCCGCCAAAATATTGACACTTTACACTTTGAGACACTTCGAAAAACTCCTGAATTCAGGTCGCTCATCCCTCTAAGTAAATATCGAGTTTTGTAATACGCCAAAGCCAAATTTAGATTATTTGGGGAGAAGAAAATCGGGTAGCAGTACTAAACAGATCTCCAAAACGATAAGCTGAATGATCTTAGTACTTTTACTATTTATGTATTATGTATATAACCATATATACACGCAAGTATGCAGCCCACTTTTAAACAGCCATCTTGTCATGGAACAACTACCCTCGCACACAACATAACATATTACAAAGTGTCCCCGTTGAGTTCTTCTCGACTAACGAATTCGCTACAATAGTCATAGCAGTGGTATACATAAACAAACAGTGGGCTGCCTGAGTACGATACAACAGGCACACAGAAAAATATATAAATACAGTACGATACAACAGGCACACAGAATAATATATAAATACAGTGCAAGGACAACATGGAGAACGATGAAAGGATACGTGCCAAGCTTAAACAGCGCATAGAAACGGCACGTATTGGCAAAGCAGATGCTAAATCGGTCATAGATACACTGTCAAACCATATCGAAGCCCTGACAGAAGAGATGTTCGCAACGGCGAATGAAAAGGTGGCCACCGCAGGTATTACGGGGCTGTATGTGTGTATGAGGATGAATGGGTATATATGCACATTGAGAGGCCGAATAGTCCATATGTGCATATATGAAATATTTCTGCATAATTCTATATGTTCCTATACGGGACTATGTAGGTAAATGAGACCGCGATAAGTATGCATGCTCTCTTTGGGTTTATCACGCAAAGTATATAGAGTTCAATGATATGTCGGTTGGGTTTGCTTGTCGTGTATCAACATACTCACAATAAGATCAGTGCTTCAACGCCTAAACCGTGATATTTACACGACTGTTCTGAAACTAAATAAGAGTATAGGCATTGGGCATTTATGTAAACAGATATATATATATGTGTGTGTGTGTGTGTGTGTGTGTGTGTGTGTATGTATGTATATATGTATATGTATATATATATATGTATATATGTATTATTATGTATATATTATTATATA